TTATGGTAATAGGTTTTATGTTATTTTCTTAATTTTTAAGGTGGTTCTCTTGGGTAAATTCCTTTTAAGATGCAAAGTCTTCTGAAATCCTTGAGATTGACTTAGAGTTTTTTGAGAGCTTTAGTTCTAGATGTATATTCTTTAACTGGTCCTTCCTTTCCCTTTTTAATTTTTTTACCCATAAATTAAAACTATAAATTAATATTAAAAAATGATGAATCAAGAAAAAAGAATGAATAATATGTTTTAATTGGATCCTTAATTAAGAGAATGATCATAATATTTTTTAGATTTCAATATAATTATTACTTTGATTCTCCATTTATAATTTTTCAATGTCAATAAATAATTATCTAATTTGACCTACTGATCTAAGCATCATGATTTAAAAGAGAATTACCATAAATTCAAGAGTCATAAAAATGATTATCCTATTAGATATTGATTATATAAACCTTATTACTACATTTTTATTATAGATCCCTAATTAATGATCAGCAATATGATTTGTAGCTAAAATAACAATAGTACTTGAAAATTCAATGATAAATGATACAATTATTCCTAAAAAATAGAAAATTAGAGAATTGTATTTTTGTCTTCTGATACCAATTGTTACAATGGCAACACTAATAATCCAAAGTAGAGAACTAATTGTAAAATAATTATTAATTACAATATAGTAATCAAAATGGCTATAGTAAATGAAATGGTTGTTAATTTATTTAAGCCAAGTAATTTGATTGCAGTCACTATAAATAAAAATACACCGCCTAATTAATGAGATGAATGAATTCTAAATAATATCTAATAAATATAAAGTATACGATTTGCCTAATTGTTTAGATTCTATTTATTTAACAATAATGAGATCATATAAATTAAATTTCTCTTCAATTTTAGGAACTTGAAAAAAAATAGGTTCTTATTTATTTGTTTTTGTACTCTATAATTCATTTCTAATTGCAAAGTAAATTATTAAAAATAAGAAATACATATCATTTTATTAATTCTGTTCAGGCTAACATATTAGATTAGGTTTCATTCTAATAATATCAATTTATTCAGCTTAAATTGATGGATTAAAATTTGATTAGGACATATTTTTCTTAATAAAATTCAAGTATAAATTATCAAATAAGTTTTATAATGTATTAAGAGAATTTTCAATTTGTTTATTATTCCTCCAATTCCATCCATCTAATTCTTTTTCCATCAACCCATTCACCTTATCTACTTTCTCCACTTACTTTTGTGAATGTTCCTCTACCATGTTATTTGCCATCAAACCATTATCCAACATACTTTCTACCATCTGGCCAAATAAAAGTACCAAAACCATCTTTTTTATCATTTAAATATCTAAAAACAATTATTTTCAATTAATTACTCTCCATCATATATTTTTCCATCTGGCCATTTAGTAATTCCTATACCATGCATTTAATTATTATTCCATTGTCCTTCATATTCTCTTTTATCTGCCCATACATATCGACCTTATATAAATTAAGAAGAATAAACAACCTTTTCCATGTATATCATTATAATTGAATTCTCCATTATAAAATGATCCATCAACAAATTATAATAAACCTTTACCATGTTTCTTTCCATCTTCATATAAACCCTTATATTTTGAACCATCTGGCCATTGTTCTTCTCCATAACCATGTTATTTGTCATCTTTCCACTCTCCTTCATATGTTGCTCCATTACTATGATAATATCTGCCAAATCCATTAGCTTTATCATTAACCCATTCACCTTCATATACATCTCCATCAGCATGTATTAATTTCCCTTTTCCACAAGCCTTATCATTAACCCATTCTCCTTCATAAACTGATTAATCTGGCCAAACTTATTTTCCCCAACCATGTCTCTACTCATTCTACCATTATCCAGTATAAATAGCTCCTGATTCTAATGTTACAGGCTAACATTTATCTAGTACTGACTCTTATAATATTTAAGTTTTAATTTCATCAAATTTGAAAGAAGGTCTCTTTTATGTATCATATACCTAATTTTCATTATTTTAATTTGGTTAATTCAATGTTTCTTCAACTCTTTATTAAAGTGTAATTGGAACACCTTCATCTCCCATTTATAATCCCATCTCAATTTAATTGTCTACATCACCCATATTTACTTATTAAATTTTAACAATAGTATTTTCAGGATTACTCTATCCACATATACCACCGCAAGTACCCATATATAAATTGATGTTTGTGTTATAAATATTTTAATTAATAATGAATTTGAATAGAATGATATTTGTATATTATTATTTTATTAAAAATATATATCATATATTCAATGTCTACTGGAAGAAATTAGGATTCCTTAAACTCTCTTCATTATAATCAATTATTTGTTACTCTTTTTCATATAATTAGATAAGATTTTTCCAAAAATTATTATTTTATATTTACTTATCAAATGTGTATTAAGATCCAAACACATATTAACAATATTATGCTCTTGATAATGCCACATTTGCTCTTCTCTAATCTCTTAAAAAACCAATTTAATCATTTGAACGTACTAAAGATAGAATTACAATTTCATTCTCTTTCCCTTAAAATGAATCAACTGTATCTACCTCTACATAATTAAGGAGATTCAAAAATTTTAATTGCATTCTCAATAATTCTTTTTACATTGAATAAGGGCTAATAATTGAAATTATCTTTTTCTTTTTTGATTTTATTTCATCGGTTAATAAATATTTCACTAATAGAATTATTGCAAGACATTCTAAAGTATTCCTAAAACTAGAATCTTCAAATTCTTCTGTACCATAAGGTGTATTAAAAAATAAACTATTTTTGTTTATATGAATTCTATTTAGAATATAATTAGGGATCTACATTTATATTCGACTCTTTTTAAGAGTGTTTGAATAAAATATTGTAGAAGTAATTTTTGCTAGATTAGGCATTTATCGATATTATTCTGTCAATTTTTTAGACTCTAAGCATTATAACATTCTTTCAAATAAAGAACGGTTCAAACTCATTTTTTCAGATTCTTTAGCTATTACTATAGGACTCAATTATTTAGTATCTCCTAAAAGTACTATTTTATCTATATTATTATATCCAATAAAAGGAATCAATTAAGATGGTTCCAAAGCTGTTGGTGCCTCATCAATTATACACATTCTCAATTTAGCATTCTCTAATGCATATTTCAATTTCTTATGACAACAACTATTTAATGTTGATGCTATAATATGGCGCTATTATTAATAATTATTTTTTACATATTAAAATAATTTTCCTTCTATTTTTAAATATTCATCTTTCTTAGCTTTCAAAATCTTACGTAAATCTTTATAAACATGTCCAAAAGACCTCAATATTTTTGCATTCGTTGTTCTAAAATTTAAATGTTCAATATATTTCATTAACTAAACTAGACTTATTTATGGTTCTTAATTATCATTCTATTCATCAATATCTTTTAAAAAAGATGTAAAATCTTAAATTTACTCTTTTATTAATAAATCACTTATTTATTTTGTGATAAATTAATTAAATATTTGATAAACATCATCTCTAAATAAAGAAAAGAATTTTTATTAGGATCTAATCTCTACACTATATCTAGCTATATCATTTTCACATAAATCTGGTCTTCCATATCGAAGAACTTTAAGATAATTCGGTTCTTCATTTAAACAATTTATAATTGAATTTTGAGTTTATATACTTTTATTTATTTTCCTCACTAAATCATTAACAATCCCATTGGATTTTCCTAAAATTAAAATTATATCTTTTTAATCCTAATTCCTAGATTCTTTTAATAAATTCTAGAAAATTGATAAGATACCTAAAATAGTTTAGGTTTTTCCTGTTCCTGGAGGACCTTCAATTAATGTAAACTATTATTTAATATTGATGAGTTACTTTTTTTGTAAAATCCGTAGCATTTTCAATAGCTTCTAATTATGATCTATCAAAATGTTATGTAAAACTAATATTTTATTTAAAATTTTAAAAAACTTATTTTAATTTATCACCATATGGAGTTTATACAACATTATTATTCTTTTTAGAAGGTTAAAGTATAAGTTAATGAAAACTGCATGTTTAAAGTCTAAAAATAGTGCTTACCTCATTTTAATACACTTTTGGTGAGCTAATAGGAATAAAATTTATAATAAATTATTTTCTCTTTATATAAGTATCCTCTTACTTGTTCGAATAATTTTTGTAAAGAAAATTTTTAATATTATCTTAAGTATTTGGTAATATTATATATTTTTCTTTTTTATCGTTTATATATAAACATAAGGTTGAATAGATATCATCATTTTATATTTTGAAAATTCCACCTATAAAATTAATTGATTTTTTGAAACTTAAATATTGTACATACTTTTAATATTTCCAAGTATTGATCTTATTGCATTCCTGTTTTATTTATTTCACTACTTTGAGCTTGATATCTGTATTAGGACTAGCATCATCTTCTTCTTCATAAATAACTCGAAATTTTAGAGGATATAATTTATTTTCTTGTACAATTCTTTTATAAGATTACATTTCCTTCTCTAAGCCTTTATAATTTTCATTTTAGAACAAAGGGAAAATCTTATCCACATATTCTTCAGTTGATTCAAATTGAATTTGTTCCTCCAATGAAGTTATCAAATCATAATGTTTAGCAATTCTATAACCCTTATTAGTAATCAAGTGAATTGAATTTGAAAGTTTAAACCAATCAATATAGTTAGTTTGCATTTTTTTTATTATGATTTTTTGTTTGATTAGGCTTAAGTAACAAAACAATCTAACAAATTCTCTGATAAATAATATAAATGTACAAAATTTAACTTTTTATTATTATTTTGATGAGATTTAATATTTTTTTATTACTATTTTTAAGTAAATATAAAATGAAAAAGTGAGAGAATAAGCATTGAATGGATTTCTATTTTTGTTTATTATATTATATTATAAATTGAATTAATAATTAAATATAAAAACGGAAATGAGATTATTATTAGTTCTTCTATTGATTGGTATAATATCAGCAACAATGGCTCCTCCTATTACAAGCAATGATAAGAAATGGGTTAGATCAACTGCAGAGAATGATTCATGTCATAAAGATTGCAAAAAATCAGATGGTCATGTTTGTGCAGGATTACATAAATCATAATGTTGTTAAAAGCATTGGTGTATTTAAGATGAAAAATTACATGATGTATGGAATTGCAGAAATGGATTGTACATATTTATGTTGAAATTAGTGAAATTCATATTGATTCATGCAATTCTTTCCCAAAAAGAGATGCTGGATTTTTACAAGAAGACTATTGAGCCACAATATAAATTATATTAATTAATATCATTCTTTCCATTTTCACAAATTTTAAGATCATTCTATTTAAATTTGATTCATTTTTTTTTATGTTGTAATTTTCTTTATTATCTATTCTGCAATATACTAAAAATCATTATCACTATTATATGTAAATAATCCTCTCTTTTCCATAAAATGATATGCATAACATAGAATATTAGGTAATCTATTATAATAAACTAAATGTGATTCTTAATTTAATTTAATAATCTTTTATTCTATTGTATCACCTTTTTAAATAGATATAGGAGAAACATCAAATTCTAAATAATTATTTTAAATTATGCCAATCTCTACAGCTCTAGGAATAGTAACAAAACCACAATCTGATACTACAATACTTGAAACTGATGTTTCAGGATATCTAATATAATCTTTAATTATGAATTTTTAAAAATCTTCTGTAAAATCAACTGCTTATAAAAACTATTCATTATACATTCCTTCAATATTCATTTCATAGTAAATAAATAATTATTAACAATTCAATAAAAAAGCCTAAGGATATAATTATATAACTTTTACATCTAATATTACTGCAAATTAATTATCATCAATCTTTAATGTTAATTCTATACATTTTTTCAAAATTAAAGTATTTGAATCCACTATTACAACCCAAGGATTTCCAAAATTATTTTCATTTAATAAAAATATAATCTATAAAAAATTAAATATTATTAATTTATTACATTTCCTTTCTTATAGAATATTTTAACTATGTTTGTATCTTCATTGATTTATAATTTTAATGTATATTCTTTAAAGCCTTCCTCATTCAAAATAATAAAATTTAATTATTAAGCTTCTACTATTGATTGAACAACTATAAAGTTTTAATCTAACTAATATCAATAAAGTTAATTACACAAAATAGCATCATTTTACCAAGTCTTCCATTATCTTTAAAAAAACTGTATATTTATAGAATTTAGTTATTCTTCAAAATTGTTACTAGAACTTCTTTCTTATTGGTTACTCTAAAATCACATAAGAGAGCAACATAAGCATTATTATTAATACAATAAGAAAGTGCTTGATTAAAATATAAATCTCTATATTCTTTAATTTATAGATCCACTTATGGATGAAATAGAAGTTAATATTAATACCCTTTGTATTTATTATTAAATTCTCCATTTCTATAATTAAGAAACATTAAATGATCTTTTTCATATGCTAAAAATGATAGGTATTCTTCATCAATAATATTGATTTGAAAAACTTCATCGTTAAATCTATCAATCTAATATAAGAGATTGATACTGATATTAATTAGTTTGGTTTAATTTAAGATTGATTATAGTAAATTAGGAATTGAATTTTGCTCGTTCTTCATCAATTGACTAATAAACTTGGACTATGTTCTCTTCATTTGTCAATAGAGTGATTACTAAACGTTATTTTCCATGTTAAATAGGAATAGGAATTTTATAGTCCACAGATAATGTGATATTATTTTACATAAATTTAATAATAAAATAGTAATAGTTCAGTTTGATCTCTAAGAGTTTTAGTTGTTATTATCCCAACCTCTAATAGAAGGTAATACTACTAAATTTTTAAATTAGATTGGTTCTGGATTGATATGAGATAATCTTCTAGGACAATTTTATTAGGAATTATTATTAATATGTTTTGGGATATCTGGAATTTTATTACGTAATATTTCTGATTTCATAATACTCAATTTAGTTATTTTCATATCATCTTCCCAAAGAGGTTATGAAGATTATTTAGAACTATTAATATAATGAATTGATCCTTTATTTTCTGCATTTTCTTTAAAGTCTTTAGATTCTTTTCTATTTCTAAATAACTTCTTATCATATAGAAATAAATTTCTATATTTTTTTAGTTAAGTTCTTAATGCACTTTATTATTTGAATCCTAAATTTGATACCTTATTATTAGGTAATTCTGCTAATATTCCAATATCATCCAAAGTTGGTGCTACATAGACAGAATTCAATCTCTTAGGACGATTAAATATTCTATTTTACAAATTAAGTAATTCCTATCTGTTAAAATTCATGAGCAAATAAAAAATTAATAAATTAATTAGTCAAAGTTTTATATTCAGAACATGTCCTCCAATCGTTTACTTTACATTTTTATTTTTATCTAAATGAAAAGAATTATTTTACTTTAAATTATTAATGCTTGATTCCAAAATAAAGTTTAGGTTTTGTTGGTTCCTAAACTAATTTCAGATTCATGTATTTTCTACATGAATTTAGATTTAATGGCAATCTACAATCAAATGTTTTATTGATTGGTTTTAAGTCACCATCATAATGTTAAATTTTACGATATGATTAAACACTATTCTCTCTCTTTTAGTTAAGTATCATCTATTTCAAATCAGAAGATGTCACAAAGGTGCTTTAACATAATTTTGGTTATTTTTGATATTCTCTAATACCAATTAATTCAGAAATTCTAATTGGATCATCATCTTAAAGACAATAAGTTAATGCTTTATTTAGCATATAATAATAATACGTGTGATTTCATTAATTAAAATACTTTACAAAAACATCTAAAACAACTATGGTATACATAATATCTTAACAAAATATAGCCATCAGCTTAAACTATGAAATTGAGAAGTTAAAATTATCAAGGCAATGTTCATAAATAAGGAAAAGTACCAAAATCATTAATTGTAATTAATCTAAATAATATCAATAGAAAAAAGAAGAAAACCTACCAGTTGGTCCAATCCTTTTAGGTGTCTTTCTGTTTGTAGTAGTAGGTTCAGCATTATTTTAAATACTTAATGTTGCTTCTAGTGGATAAGAAATTTGATTCATTATATAAATTAGTATTTTTGTGTATCAAATTCAATTTCATATTCTACTTTAAAAATACAGAAAATTAAATATCAAAATTATATTAATATATATATATATATCATTTATTAATCTTAGCTACTCTAGCTTACAATTTTTGGATTTAACAATCAATATTTTTTTATTATTCTCCAATTTTAGTTTTTATTATTTAAGGTATAACTTAAGAACTTTAAACAACTTCCTATTTATTATTATAAATCTAAGAAATAGATTTTGATAATTGTTATGTTGATTTAATAGGTGGATCTATTTAATTCAAACTATAAACTTCTTATCTACTTTATTAATTTTTTGGTGGAACAAATATGTTAGGTTATTAGAACATTTTTTATATTAAATCTGATAATGAAACTAATAAAGTTTGGATTCCAATAGATAATTCTTCATCAGGATCCAAACTATCCAATTATTATAGAGTATCTTCAATAACTGGTAATGCAGATTATGCATTTGGGTCTTTAGAAGCTTCAATTTAAGAACGATAAAATTCAAATTTAACAATAGCTTATTTATTTGTTAGTTTTCTATTTGGATTTGTAATTTTTGGTTGATTTGCTAACATTTCTATATGTGATTTTAAACATTATTCATTTTTACTTCTACAAACTGGAATTAACATTTAAAAATGATTTGAACATTCTCTACAAATAGTTTAACTAGATTCTCCACATTCAATACAACTAAATGTTCCAGTATCTCCAGATTCCAATGTATGATTCTATGGAAATTAGTTAATACCTCTTCTTTTAAAACTACGTACATAAAGAGAATGTAATAATTATTTTACAAATTCTAGATACATTTATTTTGCTTTGTCTGGTGCTAATGAAGACTATTAATTTTTAATTTTATTTAAAATATTAGCATTATAAATGCTTGAATAGACTAATTAAACTAGAATTTCTAAATGTTAATTTGCATCTTGATGTGGTATTTAAGAATATTGATAAGTCTTTCCTCTTTTATCATATTATGTCTTTATTTTATCATAAAGATATAAAATGATAGGTTTATTGACATCACTCTTAATTTTAGTATCTTGAGGTTTTAGTCTTGTGAAATCAGCAAATGAAGATACAAATCCTTCAACTTATTATAAATGTTATTGTCTTTCTGCATAAATTAACATAATCATCTAATTGTCAGATGATAATAATTAAGTGCTTTTACCTTTTTATGCATTTTATTTCACTTCTTAAATTTATTCTTAACTCAATTGGGTCTATATATATATTTAAGTAAAATACCTGTTTGTCTACTAATTTTGCTAATGAACCAAATTATTTCTTTTTCAATTAAGATATTAAATTCAAAGATGAAACATCAGGTCCCAAATATACTTTATGATGTTTACCTTAATATTTTTATAAACTTTAAAGAATCTTTTAATCATTAATTCCATAAATGAAATCTAATACATACCCTTTCATTCCATCAGAAAGTGATATTAAACCTTCAACACTATGATTTTAATAGAAAATTGGAGAATCTAGAGTTAAGAATTCTTCTGGTTAATAATTGCTTTTAAAATTCTTACTTATTTTATCAAATATAAAAGAATAATCTTCCAATTCATCTATTCTAATTTCTTTACAAATATGACCAAATGTAACATAATCAAGTATATGATCAAATCTAACTCTTTTAATCTCTCTCATACCTAATAATTAGATATAGAATATGTATATTAATGCTGAAATAAATGATTCTAAAATATCTTCATCAATTTTAATACATTACCGTTTGTTTGATATTTGACAGATGTATTTGAAAATACTTTAATCAAAATACAATTTAAATAATTCATAGGCATCACAAATATCAATCTCTTGTCCCACATCAACTCTAAATTTCTCATTCATATAATAATCTTTAGGAATATCTGTATTGAAATTAATCTCTTGCCAATATTATTATTATATTTATGATTATTAAGATCCACATATTAAGTTGCCAGCTCTCTTAAAATCTATGAATGCTTGACTATCCATTATGTCATCCATAAAATCAGAATCATTTTCCTCTATTGTTGGTTATGCAACACTTTATCTCTTAACACTTTCTTATAATTTTGCCTATAGTTTTATTTAAGACTCCCTCAATTAAGATTATTAATGACTACTTAATTATTCCTTATTTTTCTTTACTTGATTCAATTCATAATTGATATTCTTTTCCAGTATCTATTATTAAAATACAGGTTATTGTCTACTTGGCATAATTGGAGGTCTATCAACTTAATATGAAGATGTATATTATTAAGTAATCATGTCTCTTACTCTTGGAGGACTATTGCTGAGTCTAGATTGATTTTAATTCATTCCTAAAAATTTATGATTTAAAGACTATTAAGCAGCTTAAGATGGAGATATCATTTAAACTGAATTTATTGTAGGTAATATTTTAGGATTTGATCCAGCATGAGGTGGTATAAAAGGTTAACTCTTTCTATCTTATTTATTAGGATACCATGCACCTGTTCCTAAAGGTACATCTTATATTTCTTATATTGCAGTTGTTTATTAAGATTATGTTGGAGCTACTGATTTTTCTCTAATTTCTTAGAATTTTGAAAGTATATTTTGAATTTATTATTGAGGTTATGGTGGTGGAGGAGGTTATTTTTAAGGTAGAACACTTGTTTTAATAAATTGAATTCCTCCATTTGGTGGTTATGATTAATCTTCAAAAGTGACATTTGTTTTTTTTCTTCCTGGTTACTTCTTTAAACCTGCTTTTGGAGGTACAATCATAGGTTTTTTGAGTATACCTCCATCTTAATTTGCATTTTCTTATTCCAAATCTTAAGCAATAATTGCTTCTAGAAAATCAGGTTTATTTGCAAAATGTTCAACAAGGACTTAAAATTATTTTTATTTTTGAACTTGATTGAGTGTAGTTTATGGATTTTTTAGAATTGAACCAGAAATGATTACATCATTATTATTATTATAGTTATTATTATTATTGATTTTACTATCAGAGATTACTACCTTTTTAGTTAAAATATCTTTAATTTCATCTAAATCTTAATCAGTCATTTTTGAAGTTATTTTTTCTAATTTCTTAATTGATTTCTTTTTCCATCTTAATGCATAAGGTCTACGTAACATTTATTCTTCTTCCAATTATTATCTTTCAATATTTTCTGTATTTTCTATATTTGGTTATTCTGGTATTTATTATACAATCTATTATGGTATTTATTTTTATTCTTATATTGGAGTTGAAATGACAATTTCCTAAGGATTTTCTATCAATTAAATTGAATCATCACTTTCAACTTCATAATCAATGACACCTAATTCTTCATTAAACATTACTATAAAATTATTTAATTCCACTATTATTTAATTGTGTACTTGTCACTTTGTCAAAAATTTGACATACATTTTAAAATATATTATTTATATCTTAAGTATATATATATATATCAATCATCTTCCTACTCTTACTCTTCCTCAATCTTCATCAAATAAGAATTAATCTATTAATCTAGTAAATCTTTCAGTTTTTCCTTCATATTCTCATCCAATTCTAATTAATATTTAAAATTTATAATTACTATGTTCTTTAGCAAACTTATTAGCTAAACTGACAGAAGTATCTCCTTCAAATACTACAATCCTTGCACTTTTACCATCCTCAATCTTAACATCCACATACAACATTGGAGTACTCTTATCACTAATAGGTCTACTCTTATTCTTCTTTTATTTAGGTTCATTATTGAGTTCATTTTCAGTAAGACATTTCTCCTTTTATCTAATACTATTATTAGTAGTAGTTCCCTTATTTTTTAAATTTGTAAGAGTCTTCTATCTCAATCTAGCTTCTTTCATTCTAGCTGCCTATTTCTCCATTTCCTATACAGCATAATTACTTGCTGAAGTCTTTTAGACAGGCTTACTAATTTAAGGTTGGAATGTGCAATGTTATTATTAATTATCAAATTCAACATCTACAGTTGTTCTATCCTCTTATTTTTAAAGAGGTTTAGCTAATTAATGTAAATCTATTGTAATTTCTCTTTAAATAGATTTACATTCCTTCATTCTTTCTTCTTCTACTTATTTCTTTAATTCTTCCAAACTCTATTTTTTCTTTTCTTCTTATTAACTGAACCAGTCAAATAATGATGAATCTTATCTTTTAGCTTCAGCCAATTATTTAGTTCTATCTGATATCTTTGGTGATCCACATCTGATCTCTGGCTATGGAGAACGAGCCATTCTTCTTCTTACTCCATTTCCATTCTATTATTTAGTATTTAAATATAATTTGTAGAACATCTTATGTAATTCTTAACAATCACTAACACTCAATATTAGATTTCCATTTTCATCACATTAATATTTAGACTTAACCTAAATGTTTTCTTCTACTTTAGGTTTATACAAAGGTATTTCTATTAGATGTTATGGTACTGCTTAGATGGCTAATAAAATAACAAGTAGATTTCTTGATAAAACATAAAATCCATTATTTAATTCATTCCATAACATATCACATTATCCAAATCCTAGACCTTCTAATATTTTTTAAAAGTCATCCTAATAAATCTTTGAATAATCTTTTGTTTCTTATACTCTATCCAAACCACTTAATTAATAATAGAATTCCTTAATGAATCTTTAAACAAACCAAGATTAACTTTTGTCAGTAGGTTATATTACTGATTATGGAATCATTGTTTCAGTTTATTTCTTTTATTCTAATCTATTTTTAGCATCGTTATATAAGAAATCTTAAACTGATTCATCTCTTTTAATTTCCTTAGATTTCTTTGATATTTATGGTTTAAATGAATGACCTAATGTAGAATCAGGTAATGTTTAAGTCTTAGATTTTACTTCATGTAATCTTTCAACAAGAGGCTATTCACAATATTTTAATGTTAATTTCTAAGTTTTAACTGTTAATTTTGGACTAGACAATTCTGCCTTTTCATCTTCCTCTTATTATTTTTAGAGTATATCCCTCTTTTCATTGACTTTTTGAAGATGTCTCATTTACTATTCGTGAAATTCATCTGCAGAGCGAACTTCTTGATTAGTAGCTTTTATGGCCATTTTTCTACTCTTTTCATCTATTTATGGTTAAAAACTGCATTGACTCAAGTATTCAGCATCCAATTAATCTTTAAGTGTTTATTTTTTATCACTCACAAATGTTTTATATTCAATAAGTCTATTGCAGACTTCAGGAGTTTTATCTCCATTTTAATTTGGTAAAGAATGTAATCTTTCAGGAGATAATAACAATTTTTAATCTTTAACATGGAAGGCTCTTTAAGATTTCTAGGCTTCCAATGTATTTGGGATATGATTATATAGTTATTATGAAAGAACTGTAAATTTAGAAGGAGATACAGCTACTGTTCTAGTTTACCATTGATTAGGTTTCTCAGAGACAGTTGTTTACATTTATTTAGAAGGACGATTGTTTTCTTTTTTTGGTTTATCACCATAAACTAGTGATTATGCTAATTCACCAGGTTTAGATTTGCCATACATATTAGATAATTGATCTAGATTATGAATTTAGTAATGCTTACTTAGAGATGTGATTTGTTGACGATTATTGTCTCTCTATTTAATGGAAGGATCATTATTCTAACTCATAACTGACATTTTAATAATAAAATTATATTTATCAATAAATTGAACATTATCCACAACTTTTACGCTCTCTCTATTAGGGTGGAGATGAAATTATTTATGCATTTTCTTATTATTGAAATACTACCTCTTGATTTTAATTTAACTTTTCTTCTTCTTCTTACTCTTTTTCTGAGTCTCTTTATACAAATTATATTTATCCAAGATTATTGATATCTTCATTATTTTTAATAATATCCTAAACTCTTTTTTGACTGAATTATGGACCATAAGTATTAAAAATGAATTCATTTATAGCAATATTTTACCAATCAATTTGACAGATTATATAAATTTTACAAGGTCTATTAAAATTCCAATTGATCCATAATTCTTTATTGGATTGATGATTCTATTAATTCATAATTGTATCACCATAAATCATTTATATTTAACTAGGTGATATAACATATTTTAAATGGGGTTTATTACGAAACCATCTTTTATTTTTTTAGTTTATTGTAAAAAAATAATTTCCTGGAGTCTTAATTTCAATTTCAAAATAAACAGGTTCCATTACATCTGAAGTTACTTTCTCACTTTAATATTAATATCCATCAAAATGATAACAACACTCAATACTTGCAAATCTTTATTTAAATTCATCTAAGGTTAAAGTATGTTGATCTCTATTTTTCAATCCCCAAGGATTCCTAACAATAATTTAATTATCATCAATTTTAAGAATTGAATAAGCATGATTTGTTGCAAAAATATTATCCATCTATTTTTTTTTACTGTTTGCACCAACTGGAAAATGTAATGCACCAATTTCTTAAATAATCTCTTTGAAATTTGGATCTCTTGTTCGGAACTTGTTTGTTGGTGCTCCAGTTAACACTTTAAAAGTAGTTCTAAAATTAAGATATTTTTAGAAGGATACCTATTGAACCCAGCACTTATTTGTTAATAAGAACCATATAATTTTGCCCAAGCCTTTTCTAAAATCATAGCCCATAATGCACCATCCACTAATTTACTATAAGCAATCTTCTATTTCTCTTCATTGAAAGGAAAATGATGATCAACTGTAATTAGCTACCAATCTCCATCAATACAGAATCTTACTGTTGTAAAATTGCTATCATGAGATTGAAAAAGTGATTATATTTATTATGGTCTTATATTTTATAAGATAAATACTTTGCAGCATATACAGCAACTAATGGTGCAATCCAATAACAATTACCTAATTTCCCTTGTTTTGGAAATTAAGAACTTTATTCAACAAAAAGGGGAAAATCATTAAATGATTTCCAAGATAAGTTTTTCTTTTTGCCTACATTTTCAATGGTTGGTGGAAATTCTTAGTCGATCATTAAATAAATGAATAATTTTAAAACAAGTACTAAGGTAATTTAGTTCAACTAATTTTATGAAGATTGATAAAATAAAGGTTCTTAATGTAGCAGAGAAACCATCTGTGGCTAGATCAATAGCTAATGTGCTTAGTAAAGATCATCGTATTGAAGAAACCAAATCTCCATTTAATAAGCTATTTAAGTTGGATTATAGATTAAAAGATGTGGAAGTAGAGATGTGGATAACCTCTGTTTCTGGACACTTGAAGAATTTGAAGTATCCATAAAAATACCAGAATTGGGAGAAGTGGGATCCAATCATAATTTTAAAGGAAGCTGAAATTGAAAATAATATATCAAATGATAAGTGTAAGTAAGTATTATATAGGAATTAGAAAACTTAGAATTGAATCTAAAAAACTTTGCTTCAATCTGTAATAGGTTAATACTTTGGTTAGATTGTGATAGAGAAGGTGAAAATATAGCATTTGAAGTAATGGAAGTATGTAAAGAATCAAATCCAAATATTTAAGTATATCGAGCTCATTTTTCAGCTGTCACTTATGTTGATGTTCGAAGAGTAAAATTTAATAATAATAAATTATAATTTTAGGCTTTAGATACATTAAAATATCCAGATGAAAACTTATCAAATTCTGTAATAGCAAGATAAGAGATAGATCTAAGAATAGGTGCATCTTTTACTAGATTTTAAACATTATTACTTTAAAAATAATTTAATTTAACTTCTATTGTAAGTTATGGTCCTTGTTAAATTCCTACACTTGGATTTGTTGTTTAAAGATAGAAAGAGATAGACTCTTTTATAAAAGAATAATTTTGGTTTATTTAATGTGAAGATGATTAAAAATGTATATATAATTGGGATCGTACTCATTTATTTGATGAATTCATTGTTGTCTTATTATTTGAAAGATGTTATTAAGATTATGCAACAGTGATTAATGTCTAATAAAAAGATGTCTAAAAATGGAAACCTTATCCATTATGTACTATAGAATTTGAAAAATTGGCATCTAAAAAATTAAAGATTTCAGCCCATAAAGCTATGGAATTAGCAGAAAGATTATATAATAAAGGATATATTAGTTATCCAAGAACTGAAACCAATAAATTTCCACCAACTATTAATTTATAAACTATCATCAGAGATTAATAAAATCATCCTATATGGGGAGAATATGCAACTAATTTAATTAACTTTGCTTTTGAATATCCTAAAGCTGGAAATAAGGATGATAAAGCACATCCTCCTATACATCCTGTTAAAATGATGATTGAAAGTGAAGCTTAAAATAAAACAGAATGGGATGTCTATTAACTTATTACTAGACATTTTTTAGCTTGTTGTTCTAAAAATGCCAAAGGATCAGAAACTACTATTACTTTATAAATTAATGATGAAACATTCTCAAAAACTGGTTTAGTTATTAAAGAAAAGAATTACTTAGAAATATATATATATGATGAATGGTCTTAATCATAAGTTCCTAATTATAAATGCGGAGATTCTATCAAAATCAAATTAACACTTTAAAAAGGATCAACATCACCTCCTAAACCTATGACTGAAGCTGAACTAATAGGATTAATGGATAAAAATGGTATAGGTACTGATGCAACAATTCATGAACATATCAATACAATTTAAGATAGAGAATATGCAATTAAAAGAGGTTAAATCATTAAACCTACTAGAATAGGATTAGCTTTAGTTGAATCTTATGAAATTTTAGGATTTACTTTACATTAACCATTTCTAAGAGCCATTATGGAACAAAGAATGAATGAAGTAGCCCTAGGTAAGAAAGACAAATCTTAAATAGTTTAAGCAACTATAGATGAAATGACTATCATTTTAAAATAACTGTAAGAAAAATAAAAGTTAATCATAAAGACTTTTGGATAATATTTGGAAGCTCTCAAGAATTATGATGAAGACAATAATAATGATGATAATGATGGTAATAATAATAATAATAATAATAATAATAATAATAATAATAATAATAATAATAATAATA